ATGCAGGAGAACAATAAAATTGTAAAATTGTATACATGCAGGAGAACTGATAAGCATATTATAAGCATATTATGAAATATGTGTGTACGTGTGTACAATAACATGGACAAATCTCACAAACACCATCTTGAGCAAAATTAAACAGACCACAATAATATGCCTACTTTATGACTGTTTTCTACAGCTAAAGCTAAGTTATGTTGAAAGAAATCAGAGCAATGATGTCTTCTCAGTTCCTTTGGGAGTAAGATGGACTTTGTGTGTGTGTGCGCGTGTACGCGCAGAACCTGGCTGAATAAGGAAATAATCTATTTTTCTAGTTGACGGATTATGTCCTATACCTTAGTACAGATGTGTGTGTGTAATTTTCAATTTTAACACATCCCAGTGAATAACTAAGGTGTTGATTTTTCATCACATATAAATTATACTTCATACATTTTCTTAAATAGAAAAATAAACTTTGTCAGAAGGCTTGAAAAATCAAAAGTTTTGTCTTTGAAAAAATTTATCAGAGGAAAACCAAACAAGAAATGTCCTGAAACCAACTGGCTGCAATTCCATCGCCAGCTTCCAGAAAAAAACTGCCCTTTGCCTCTGTGTCCTGTGCTCTTCTGCACCATATTTTTGGAGTGGCGATTTTGTCTAATTTAGCAGAGGTGCTAAATTACTCTGACACGGATCAAAGAGTCGCACTATTGTCCAATGAAACTAACTAAAATAGTTGGGGCCCTCCCTGGTGGCACAACAGGTTAGCATGAAGCACTACAAGCTAGTTGTAGCCACCTCAGTGCGAGTTTGATCCCCAGCTCCGGAGCTGACCCACATAGCACAGCAGACCTCTCCTGTCTCACCCGCTGCTCCCCTCAGCAGTATACTTTGTTGATCTGCCTGTTCTGCTCCCCACTCTGCCTCTGGTGATTCCTCTCACCACGCCTGTATCCCAGTTCTGTGTGAATAAATAAATAAATCTTAAAAAAAAAAAAAAAAGACGAAAAGAAAGCGCATGCTCAATTTGGCCTTGAAGTCAGTCAACAAATAGGTGCTGCCGGTTGCTGCTCCAGGTCATCTTTCCTTTCAGGGCAGCAGGGCAGAGTGGGGAGAACACAGTCTTGTTAAGGAGTTCCAAGGGTCAGATTCTCCCGGCTGCTCAAGACAGCAACAACAACGAAGAATGGCTCACACAGGCGGGTCTTTCCTGCTGATCTTTCTTTTTCCAGGAGATATTCATTGATAGGCAAGAGCAAGCAAAAAGAGCTTAGAGTGAAACCCAAGCGCTAGTGAGAAATCAGAGTCGACACGTCAGTGTGGAGTGGGTGGGGAAGCATCTCTCCTGTCGAGCATATTTCCCACTGATTATAATGCTCCGTGCTCTCCGCTGTGCGCTTTCCCATGGAGGAAGTTCTTTGTGAGAGAGAGGTAAACTGACTCGTGGGAAAAAAAGTTCTCTCGGGGGGTGAGCAGAAAATTGGCTCCTGCCCAGGTAATAGCCTCAGGGCGTGCCATGAGAGATGAAATCATTTGGCTCATTTTACTATCTTCGGGATGGCATCAAGACCTGACAGAGTCAGGCAACAAGAACAAGGAAGCCAATCTGCGGCATGGCTGTCATGTTGGAGGAACCTTCTGTGGACAGTGAAGATGGCCCCTTAGTTTAAAAAAAAAAAAAAAAAAGGTTAAGGACCGTTTACTGCCAAGAGGAAAACTCAGTTATGAAATGAACTGCCACGCATGAAGAGGTCCTCTGATGCTCAGACTGGTCCCAAACCATATGCTCCGTGGCATGCTTCATTTACCTCCCCATTCAAACTGTGATTCTGTACATATATGTTTAGTACTCAATTGATAAAGAAAAAAGATAAAAACCACTTTGGGGGAGCTGGAAGTCAGCTTTCTTAAAATTCGACCTCCATGTAGAATAGAGCATCTTCTGTAACGCATAGCTCAAAGACACCCCATAAAGTGACCGCACCCTTGTGGTAAGCGCCCAGACAGATACACCAGGTGGCAGGACTTCCTACGACTCTGCAGTCTCTACTACCATCAACTGTCTTGATTTATATTGCTTGTCTACACATTTTTAATAATTATAGATGTCTAGGATATAACCTAAACTTCATAACCCGTTTATTTGATATTCATTATATATCCTTTATATCCTAGCCGTATACATGGTGTATCATGTCAAATTATTTCAGTTATATCTGAAGATTTTTTCTCTATGGAGATAATGCTCATCTATTTTTATAAATTAATTAAATGTAGTATCCACTCCTCTTTGAAAATACAGTAGAGGTAATTGTTAGACTTGTATTTACTTTGTCTGAAAAGTTTTGTGTTGACTTTATTATGTTCTTTTGCATGCCACATAAGCAACTAGATTTCCTTGTTCATAGCATTGTGTCACAATGAGATATCATCATGTCTTTCATTATTGAAAATTATCAGCAGTAAGTTAACAACCACTATATTAAGTCTTTGTCATCTACAGGTTTTTATTTTACTCTAATGCTTCTCTGATTTTTCTCTAATGCTTCTTCTTCCACAGGACAGAGATTTTTATCTTCAACATAGAAGGACTGTCTAAGAGACCCATAGAAAGAGCAGCTCCAATTCTTGTGAGCTCTGCTGAAGCTGCTTAAATAACTTTGAGAACATACTGTGAACTGAGTGAGGGTTTGCAGGTCCTACTGGAGAAATTGATGGGCTCAGGAGATTGCAGAGAAACCCCATCCCAAGATCCCATGAACTATCAGTGCAAAGGTGAGAGAAATCCAGAGTGGGATGAACTGCATTGAGAATATGGGCTTGAAAACATTGTTGAATACATTAAGAATTTGGACTTGAGTATCATCATTTTTCAAGACTTCAGGTGCACCGTGGAGTTAGGAATTGACCAAAAGAACTTTTCTTCACTCACACTAATGTAAGAATTACTTCAAAATTCAATTCTAAAAAATAGAAGTCTATTTTATTTCACCATGTAGAAATCCACTTCATGATGCCATGAAATGTGTATGATTCATGCACCACTTTTCTTCACCTTTCTAGAAAGATGGATCCACCACCATCATCTGAGAGGCTGGAAAGCAAAGCTTTCAGAGGAGTGATTTTGCCTTTATAGTCTACAACCTCTCTCAAGATTCATTGACCCCAGGTGCCTCTGTGTCAAACAGCCGTGCTCAAGGGTTCAGACTCCAGAAATGCTGCAAATGACTATGTGATCGTAAGTTGGTCACCTCCACACTGAACAGTGGCTTTTTTTGGCTGGTAAAAATCAAAATCTTTCTGAGTGTTATCAAGAGTCTTCCTGAGGGAATTCCAGCTTAGCATATTCCCATATAAAAGCACTACTTTGTCTAATAGAATACTTGAGTGTATCAGAGAAGCACAGAGAGGATGAAAGCCAATGGTTCCCATCACACACACACACAAAATCTGGGGTGTGGGAAATGAAACTATTTAGTGGGCTCATATTTTCCCATGTAAGAAACATAAGAGAAAACATGGTTTGATTCTCCTTCCTTGCTGTCTTTTACTTTTACTCAGTGGCTTCTTCCCATCCAGTTCTCTCTTAAGTATTTTTAGACTTGTTACTCAAGCTCAGATCTACACTCTTTCCTGCCGCCTCAGCTTCTTCATATGATCTCAGGCTCTTTTTTAGAAGTATTAGAAAAATTCTCCTGTCCCCCATTTAACAGACGAAGCTCGAGGATTGCAAGATTGTTCAAGAATTAACAATGGCCAAGTTCAGTTCAATCATTTGGTCAAAACTTCACAGTTCCCTTGAGGATCACACATGGAGAAGCAGTTTGCTAGATAAGATTTATAAGTAAATCTGCAAAGATACTGGATTGTACCTTAGAAAAAAAGAAGTGGAAGATTAAAAAAAAAATGAAATGAAAGCAATACCGGTAAGGATAGAAACTCAACCTGGGGCATTGGCTATGCACACCTGAAACTCACTTAATGTCCTTCAGATGTGCCACTGTTTGGACAAGAGTGATCACCATGAGCTAATATTTGTTGAATACCAGACATTCTTTCAGGAACAATTAGAGACGGGCAGTGAGGATTCTTGAAAACTGATCAAGTTCTTATAGGCATCTGATGGTAATGACCATCCACAATGCTATTCTCCCCGATAGTTTGGCAAGGTCAGCCAAAGCAAAGTGGAGAAGAGGGTGGTATTAGAATGCAACAGACTGGGAGTCAACATTTGGTATCTCTATTCCTCGGGCAAGTGTCCAGTCGTGGCTATCACAGAGACACAAGGTACTTGGTGTTCCTTAATAAACAACCTTCTTGATCTGAGCAAATAAAAACATATGGGGAGCTCTGAGCAGACCAATTTCTCAAAGCAACCCTGGTGTGGAGTTGTGAGCAATTAGGGACATTTTGAGAGCTGTTTTTTCCATCGCTTCTTTCATTCCATTAATAAGAAGAAAATGCCTCTCACCACACCATCAGTTTAAACTGTGGGATCCTGTCTACTAGCCTAAGCAAAGTTAATGGATGAAGCCCCTGAGGAGTTTTCAGGTGAAGGAAAGCAGAAGGCTGCTATCCAGAAAAAGACAGAGGTGTTAAAGCTGGGTTTTGTTTTGCTTTTACCTTAATGCAGTCTGAAGGCGCCTTTCACAATCTAAAGCAAGCTTATGCCATTTCTTCTTAACAGCTGCTTTCCTGCTAAGTCACCCTCTAAGAAACCCTCTTTAATCACTTCCCTTCGTAATTCTCACCACTTCCATCCACTTTTTAGAATCGTCAAAAGAAATCTTAGGAATGATTCAAAATCAATAGAGTAGGGAAAAATATTTATTTTCTAAAGTCATCACCTTGACAGGCAAACAAAGCATTTTCTCAATTTCATTCAGAAATACACTTAAAAAAAATACATAGACCAATATGGCCTGCCCAAACATATATTTAACATGGTAAACATAAGGAATAAATTGTTTGAATATAAATATCTATAAAAATATAAGTACATAAAAATTTAATCCAACCTCTTCCATAGCCAGTTACACAAAAGAAAATAATTTTATTGCTTTAAAGCAAAACCAACATTTACTTTTCAGTGTCTTTCAGAAACAACCCTATACCATTGTATCTCCAAAAAAGTAGGTAAGGGAATCGCCTGATTCAATGATCTTTTTTGGTATGGATCGAAGCTAGTAGATTACAGTAAAAATGCATTATCGACTACTGACACATGAGACCAGACTTCTCGGAGGCTAGGTTTAGGGAGGAGGTTGCAGAAGGGGGAAGAATTTGGGGAGGCAATAATTAGAGGTGGAAAAAAATACTTCTGCTGGAGTGCAATATAGGTGAGGTAGACGCATCCTGATTTACAGTAGTAAGAGTTTCAATTTTTCATTTAGTGAATTTGAAAACAAAGGTTTTTTTTTTTTTTTCCGACTTGACTGTTTATCCTTCGAGTATGTTTTCAATTTGTGCATTCCTTTGAAATTCTTTGCAGGGACTTGAGAATTTCTCCCTGAAATGTGCAGGGCACCTGACTGAGACACAAACACCCCCTTTGGACAGGCTTGGGGAGCTGTCCTGTCTGTGGAGTCTCCTCTCTGCCCTCAGGAGGATACCACCCGAATTTGCACATCACGGTGTCTCTGGCTCTCTCTGTGGTCAACTGCAACCAGGAGACACAAAAGCAGTTACCAAGAAAATGCCGTCAGGTTGCAGGGGACGCTAACCTTCCTGGAATGTTTAGTGTGAGATCCTGGTTCTTTGCAATCTGGAACAAGAAATGGTGTAAGCAGAGAGGACGCTGTTGCTCTGACTGCAGTCAGTGCAGACAGAGTGCGCAGTCAGCCCGGTCTCTGTGGGGCACAGGGCTGCGAAGGGGCTAGGCTGGGGCATCAGTGCGTCCTGTTGTGAGTCACATTCTTCCCTCTGTACAGTTTGGCTTTCAGCTTTGCAACACGGAAAGATGTTTTGATGTTGTTGCTGATGGCCTCCAACCTATTCAAACAACATAGAGAAAAAAATATATATTTAAAAACATCATTTCTGGGGGAACATCTAAAATTAGAATTTGGTGCAAACAAATCTAGGCCTGGTTCCTGAACTTTCACCACCAACCACAAAAGGTTGCTGCCCTTTGCTAACCTCGGGTGAAAATGAGGACTGCTTATGTGTAGAGTGGGGGATTGGAGAAAAGGGTAGGGTCATATATAAAGGGAACTGGGCATTAAATACAAATTTCAAAACAAACTGTAGATAATCTCCTCTTCTGTCGCTCCTTTCCAACCCTACCACTGGGGGACTCCACAGAGAAACTCAGCATGGAATTCAAGCAGTCACAGGCAGCTTCTTAGTCACAGGAGGTTGACTTAGTAGACAAGAATAAAAAGAAAGGAAACCTACAGGTAGGCCTGAAGCAAAGGTCCTATGGCAATTTAAAATGTACATATTTCTGTAGGTTAATGGTTCTTTTTACAGGAAAGGGGAGAACTGCATTGTTGACTTACTAGTTGATATGGTAGAAGCTAGTAGAAAAAACCTATTTCCACATCAGTTCAGAAACAGTAATTTATGTAATCTTGGGACCTAGAGAAGCATCTGTGGCCTGAAACTGTCAACATGAAAGCACAGGCATCCCTCATAAATGCTCAGCGGTAGCCTGTGACTGCCAGCCCCGTGCTGGGAACGCTCTATCACAGAACTTCTTGCCACTAGATTTCTAAGAAAAGTCTCCATAGACCATGATAGGGAAATGTGAGCATGTGACGGATTTGAAAGCAATTCGCCTCCCTTCAGCTTGTGTATGCCAACATTCTGTGAGGATTTGGAAGGGCCACTGCAGAGCTGCTCCTGGAACCCAGTGGGGTTGCTGAGCCAGCCCCTTCTCTGCCCCAACTCCTGACTGACTAGAAAATGAGAGTCATTTGAACAACCAGGTTTACTCCCCACAGATGCATTAGCCTACTAAAAATTAAATAAATAATCCCAGGAGACGGCATGTTCTAGCTCTCACCAACCCTACCTAATGACTTTATTTTCCCTTTGGCCATTTGAATAACTGCAATTTTTTGAAGAATTTGATTCTGCGTGGCAATTTGTTCTTAAAAAAACCTCTCCTTGAGAATTTTTAAGTTCTGAGGGAAAGTGGTAGTAAGTACTTTGCTTCGGAAAGGTAAACATTAAATATGACCAAGTGATAAACTATTTGGGAAAACCTACCTATAGCCTGAGGGGAGTGTGTATACAGCAGACAGTAGCCCATGTTTATTGCCTTCAAAAGAGAGGGATTCCTTTGCTGGCTTTAGTCTATAGCATATGATGACTATATCTCCTTTGTAACTTTCTAAGCCTAACTCCTATCAGGGTGAAAAGGAGGGTGGTGAACTGGTAGAGGAAGGCCACTAACACTGTCATGTTCTTGGGAGCCTCTTACCTCCTTATTTTTCTGCCTTCCACTAGCTGCTGGTGAATGCAATTCTCTCCAAGCTTGGAACAGTCTTCGCCTCTCCTTTGGCTATTCCAACCTTTCTCCATCGTGTCCTGGTCCCTATTAAAAGATACAAAGGAAAAAAAAAAACATTTTAGCAATGGTCCATTGCATTGCTCTCAAGGCCTCCCTTAATTTAAAGCAAGAAGGTAGCATCATAATAGGAGGAAGGTCAGGAAGCTCTCAAGGTGATTGAGGGCAAAGATGTTTGCTACTCACCTGAGTCCTTTTCCTGCTTGGCAAAAATTCCAGCACTTCTTGTCTTTGGGGCTAGTACACAGGCATCTATTCTTGTAATCGGCTGCCTTTGTTGGAAATAAATCCTTTAAGGATCGCTTGGACCTGGAAGGGCTTCCAAGCCCATATGGAACAATGTGTCTATTATCAAAAGAGAAGAACAAAATATATTAACATAATTAGTAGCCTTCAAAATGATGCATTCTTTGAGGCAACTCATTCCACTGGGACCCAAAAGCTGAGCAAACCTTGAGGCTCAGGAGAGTGAAGTGTGGCACAGTCTGGAACCCCTCCTGTCACCCTCTCATCAGGGCCCTTGAGCCAGTGTGCCCAATTCAATGAAAAAGCCAATTTCTCCAATTCAATGAAACCCCATTTGCTAACAAAGTTCAGCATTATCTTTTCCTCAATGTTTATTTACTGCCTTCAGAAGAGAGGCAGACTTTTGAAAGGCATAATTTTGTCCAAAATTATGTTTTGGTGTCTGTTTCATACTTTTGTTTTCTAACATTCTGTTTCATCACCACTTATTGGAGGTGGAGGAGAGGGGCTTCAGTGCAAAAGTACAGATCAAAAGATTTTGAAAACCAAGTTTCAATTTACATTATAGAACCTTAAATGTGCCTCCCGGAGGAGAGGGCCGACATGAGGAGGCCACCCCTACCACACACACACACACGAGCTCTCCCATGATTTCATCCCTGGCAGCTCTGTGATGCATAACTGTGATAGACCCCTGCCAGCAGGCTCTCTGGTCACTTCCAGAATTCCACAAAGTAAAATCTCCCCTTGGGAGTCCCACCTTCCTGATCATTAGTCTTTTGTGGGGGTGGTATGATCTGATTTGATAGTGTGTCAATTTCGAACCTCCCTTGCCATAATGGGTTACTGCAGGCACACTAAATGTGTTCCTGTTTCTGGCTACTTCTGCTGGATGGACTAGTTTTTGTACAGGGAGGAAGGGTACTGCTTCCTTCACACTGAAGGTAGAAGAGAATCCCGTGGGTGGTCTTTTTATTTCTGTTTTGAAGCGGGCTTTTATAAATAGAAAGTACACCCAGGTTCTACATCTGATTCTCCCACAAATTCATTTCTGGCCAAGTGACTTCAACAATTGGGTCTTAGCATTTCTTTAGGTAAAATGAAGAGCTTGGAATATAATGCTTTATAATATAATGCTTTATAACCTCTCCTGCCTTTACATCTGTAAGGCTCCCACAGCCAGCTCAGACCCTGCAATTGGAGTCCTTCATCAGACATGGAAATGTAGGGTGGTTTTCTACCTGCTCTCAGCTTGGTCCTACCTGTCAGCCTCTGAGCCACTAGCTTAGATACCTTCCCCTCTGTTGCTAAGGACCAAGAGGTTCAGTCACTTTCAGGAAAAGCAGAGCATCGGCCCCACCCATGGGGGCACTCCAGGAACTGTTACCCTCAGCCCCCAAACCTTGACTTCTCCTCAAAAGTCTCTTGAGTCACCAGCTGCAGGTCAGGAAGCAGAAACAAGATTAGAGTTACTATGCCCTCTAGAGACTCACTCGGGAGTGTTGACCCAGATGATGTCGAGGTGGCAGAAGTAAACACACTCTTTATCCATCAAGGAAGAGCAGGAACAGCGCTTGGTCCGGCGGGGCCTCCAGGGTGTACGGGGAGGGGGCTGCTCCCCTCCATCACCCTCCCTGGGGCTGAGCTCCGTGCCCAAGACCGCTGAGGAGAGAAAAAGCAGGTCAGTGGGGCTCTCTCCCTGAGAGCCAAGAACACTCTGCATGAAAGCACTGAGGCCAGGTCTAGCAGAGCAGAGAAAGACAGCTGAAGCGGAGACACAGAGGAAAAGGATTCTTTTATTTCCTCAACATGACTTCACCTTTACACCCAGCGGAATAGCCACCCTGGGAGAGATCACGCACATGCAGCCAGGACAGGCACTAAAAAGTGACTTATCAGCTCCCGTCAAGGAAAGCAGCCTGTTAGAATGGTGGGCTGGCTTCCACAGGTGACTTAGCAGAAGTGCACAGTGACCAGTGCTTTACAATTGGCTACTACAAAAATCTAAAAGTAAATACATCACACCAACTTCTTCCTAGGGTAAAAGCAACCCCCATCAGAATGACCTTCCTTTATTTTAGGGGGTACCCATTATACTTTATATCTTGTGCAGCGAAGATGCTAGGTACCTCTTGACATGAACTGGAATTCAAAAGCTTTGGGGAGATGACTGGAAAAAGACCAGTCTTCTGGTTTCTACACAGCTCAAAACCAATAATAGTCATTTCAGACAATAAACTCCACAGTAAGCACTGATCAGCCATAGCTCAAGGGACCCAGTCACGATTCTGTGGGCGTGGAGTCTGAGTCTCTGGGCAGCAAGGGGAGAGTAAGCACCACTGGCATCGGCCCCTTCCCACGGCTGGGGAGACCCTTTCCTACAGACAAGGAGCCATGCCACTCATCAGGATAGCTTGGTACTATTCATATGATTGGACACTTTCCAGGATTTTCATTCCCTTGACATCCTTTCTCTTCAATCAGGGTCAGAAAAAGACAAAAAAAGGTGCATTGACCCTAAGCGCACAAACTCTCTAAATCCTTAAGCAGCCAAGATTTATCCAGCTTCCCTTCCAGGGCAGGTGAATAAAACTGAAAATAGAGCTCACACTGTTCTGGGTGCCAAAAACCTGCCAAAGGAAACCTGGAGTTAATAATGACAAATTTTAAAGAAAACATCTGCTTCACCCTGAAAGTGCCTGGCAGGCTGAGTCAACAGGCAGTTCTGCAGGTGATTTCGCTGCTCAAACTCTGCGCGACTGATTTGAATAAAATTCTTTGGCTTCAAGCTGAGATGTTCAAATATTTTACATGCTAACATACTATTAAAGCAGTATTTGAATAAAATATAAATTCCTGTAAGTCCCGTCACCTGTAGGAACACACATACTGCAAACACACATGTGGCTAAATTATATCGTGTCTTTATTTCTCTCGAATTACATTTTTAAATCCCAAGGAATTAGACTACGTAATAATAATGTGGGTTTAATGCTTTAGGAGCAATTGTATTAATAGAGGGATTTACATTCCCACTAGAAAACCTAAGTAACTTTAAGTCATAATCTGCAGATATTTGATGAATTGCAGCGCTCAAAAAAAAAAAGAGAAAAGGCAAAAGCAAGTGTAAGTGGGTAAGATAACATGAACATTCAGAAAGTCAGCGTGCCTACCTGTTTCTGCAGCGCCTTGGAAAGCCACGAACAGCAGAGAGAAAATCATGGGGAAGCAATCCATTCTGAAAAGGGGATCAAAATCCTCCCCTCTCAAGGAAGAATGAAGAAAAACAGCTCCCGTTCCCCCAAAGCGCTCTGGTGATGCGGATCTCCAAGTGATCCTTCAGCCTAAGCGCCCTTTAATGGGGAGAAAAATGCGTTCCTGCTGCTCGAGCAGGAGCGCCGGGGTGCGAGCGGCGGGGCTGGGGCCCGGCGGCGGCGTACTGGGGCGCAGCGCAGCGCACTGGAGGGCGCCCGGCTCTCGCTGGTCTCGGCGCGGAGGCAGAAGCGCGTCTGACTTGGACAGCGCTCCGCCGCCTTTTATATTGAACCCCGATAGAGTGGGGGTAAACAGCTCCAACTTTATTCCAGCTCCAGACAATGTTATTGTGTTATTAGTCACCAACAGGCAACGTGCAGCCCGAGATAAGGCCGGGCTCTAAAGGAAATCACGGCTGACTTCAGAGGCAGACGCCCGCCGTCGGACAATTCAGGGGCAGGGCTAAGAGAAAGAAAATACCCATTAGAGACCTTTGGTAAACCTGCCCGTGCAGTGTTTGAGTCGACTTCCCTTAGCAGCCTGCCAGTCCCAGAGTTCAAGAATCAGAAGAGGGACTCCAGCAAGTCATACCATTGGTATGAAAAGTATGAGCAACAGTTTAAATAGATGGTATTGTTGTGTGCGGGGAATTTTTTTTTAATTGTCCTTCACTTCATTTTCCTTTTATGTCTCTCGGATTCCTCAGTGTTGATCAAACAGGGGAATGCTCTTCCTCACTCCCTGGCCCCAACTGGAATCTCATGATTTTGGCAGTGTAAGCCCCCCTTCCCCGAAATCTTTTTTTGCCTTTAGGTCCACAGTGCAAAGATCCGTGAAGGGTTGGAAAGAAAGTTTCAAGACGAAAGTAAGGAAACATCCCCCGTTCTTCAATACCATTGATTAAGTCCCCACAATCTTCCCCCCGTCGCAGCCCGCAGGCGTTTCTCCCGTGCTCCCTCGACCCTCTCTTTCAACAGCGCCGATTTTAAGAACAAGGAGAGACCACCAGGGGGAGCCCGAGAGCCACGAGGGCTGATGTTAACTGAAAGGAAGGCAGCTGGAGGTGAAAGCCGAGGAAGCGCTCAGAAGTGGGTCTAAAACACGAATATTCTAGATACTTCCTACATGAGGACGTCGTCTCGACGTCCTTCTTTATTTAAGGCACATGAGTGCTCCTGTACAGGCGGACTTACAGTGAAGGTGGTGGTGGCCAGGAGGAAATGCCCGTGCTGAATAAGGGGATCAATCAGATAAACATGTTTAATAATGTGTTTACATTTTTAAAGCAATTTCCTGTCTACTTAACCTTGAAATACCCTTTGAGGTCCCCACAGGGCAGTTACTGTGGAGGTGACAAGGTGTTGTAATGTGTTAAGACAAAAGATAAATGCAAGACTCTTCAATTAGCCTCATCTTTTTCTGGGGAGAAACTGAGGCACCCACGGTTCCTCATTCTGCAAGCTCTCATAGTGGCTGAGACCTGTGTAGTGAAAAGATGAGTCTACAGTTAGCACCTAGGGATGCCCAAATAGATGCATCCTCTATTTCCTCATCTTGTTGCACACCAGTCCTCTCTGCTTAACCTCTATAATCAAAAGGACAGATTTTTGTTCCATCAACAGCAGTGGACCAAGGCACACTTGGACCCCAGGACACCCCCGGGAGTGACAATGACAGACAGCAACAGTCTAGAAGTGCCAGATCCATAATGAGATGTCTCCTAAAAGAGTCATAGAGCAGCAGGAACTCTCTTGACAGACTCACACCAGAGGCGTCCACTTAAACCCCAGGTCCTTTTGCCCCTGCCCTATGCTTACCTCAGCCAGCCTGGGGGTGGGGGTGGGGTGGGGGGTGGGCGCTTAGAGATCACATAGCTCACCACAAGGCTGGGTAGCTGGCACCAAGTAAGGAACAGCTCTGCCCACCTCTGGCCTGACCAGTACCCACTGACCTTCTCCCCCCGCCCCCAGCAGACCACAGGGAGAGCTGATGTCACCCTCCAAGCTTGCTGCAGTCAGAGAAAAGTAGCTAGGGAAATGTGCCTTGGCAAGGACCCCCCACCCACCCACCCACCCTTTTTAAAAAATCCTCCTGGCAATTTTGACAAAACACTGGCCACAGTCTGGACCAACCTGTCCAGGAAATGCCTGCCCCCGCCCTTCCCAGTGTCTCCAGGTCCAGTCAGGGCCACCCCCCAGCAGCGAAGCCTGGCTCTCCAAGGTCACCCCCACCATGGAGAAGCTTCTCCAGAGGTGCCAGCTGCTCCCAAGTTCAGATGGAAAATGAAACTGCCCACACGCCTTCCCACGATCTTCCTCCTCTCCAGTCTGTGTCATCCTGTGAATGCATTTGAATTATACATACAAAATGTAGGCAGATATGCCCCCACCTCTGACCCCAGGCCTTCTAGGCATCTGTTAAAATAATAAATGCAAAGGCTTTCAGACTTGGGAGGGCCCATTGTCCCAAGTGCAAACTTGCCCCCATCCTGAACGCTCACTTTCCAAGATGACTCCTCTGTCCTTCTCACCTGGCAGTTGCCCCCTTTCCTCTGAAGGCACCCTGCAAGTGTCTAGAAGACAATTCTAGAAGTCCAGGCAGCTGCCCAGCAAGACATATTCCCAGGAATCCCAAGGGGGAAGGAACCCTCACAAACCAGTTTTACAAGCTGGGTGCTGTCTCCTCCATTTGTAGCATTGCCAGGGAGGGAGGTGGGGGGAGTGGAGGTTTAAAGAACTGGAGAAAACATTCAACTTGGAGATCCCACCTCCCTCCACAGGGCCCCCCTTCACCTCCAAGATTGAAGAAGGGAAAGAGCAAAAAGAGAAGGAAATGGAGGAAAGAGGTTTGACAACAAAAGATCCCTCTTCCCCCAACAGAACCATTTGCTGTTGCTGTTCTTGCTCCTGCTGTTTCACTTGAATACTGGCAACTATTTGATAAAACTACTTTTTATGTATTTCTTTTTGTATCTCTTGCGTGTATTAATAGATATCTATAAATAAAACACCCTGGGCCCCAAATTCAGATACTACACAGTAGCAAAGTATACTGTTTTTAGCACTCTTCAGCTTTGCTCTTTCTCAACTTTTGCGTAATACAGTTTGCAACTTTGCCAAGCCAATAAATCTGGTGTGAGATGTTGCATTTAGCACAGCAAAACACACACACACACACACACACAGCCCGACTTTAGGTTAGGTGGCCTGACAGGGTCTCAGAGGACAGGCTATTAGTCTGTCTGTAGGTTTACTGTAGGTTTGGGGAATTCTCCACCCCTCTAGACCTGGGTCAATCACATACTGTTGACAGCTATGTTTGTGCTTTGCATAGTGCTGTTGTGAAAGGTTGTGCATTACACACAGGACTCCCTGACACATCACACACCTCCAGGAGTCGTGAACAAACAGCTACTCGGGCACTTCAGATTGTCATGGTTGATTTAGCACGGGATATAGGGTGATGTGCCCGATGCACTCATCCGTGCATCTTAAATACATAAATGCGCAACTCCCCTTCCTTGATATTTTCATTCAGAAGACATTAACTGATAGCAAATGGTTAGCTCAAAGGAATATGCCTAATTCTTTCACCAAGCCCAATTACTCATGAGCCTCTTTCAGACGTTTGCCTTTCGTGGATGCTCAGATGGCACTTCAGGATATTTGCTGTTCCTCTGATTTTGTCTTTACTTGAATAATTGTTAGGAAGCTTTCCGCCACCACTATCCTTGGCAATAATGTACATGAAATCATGGTTTGTATGGATAAATAATACACGTATTTATATGGTTAGATCATGTACATGAGTCATCATTTAGTACATGCTAAAATAAATATAATTATTATGTGTTCATTAAGTTATTAGCTATAAAAATGTCCTCATATACCAACACTAGCATCCGTGGGCAGTGTGGCTCCTGCCAGTGCGAGAGCTTCTACCTTATTATGTTAAGAACTAAGCCCTAGGTTAATTCTCCCCCAGATGTCTACTTTCAAGATAATCTCCACATAGTCCATATCAACGCTCAAAGAAATGCCCCTCAAAGAAAAAGAAATTCTGGCATCCAGAATCTAGAAAAATAAGGAGTTTCCATGCAAAAAAAAAAAAAAGTCCTTGCCCTTTTTCTTTTTTAATCTCATCAATGTTTTGGTAGCTGCCCATTATCTTTTTTTCCAGTCCTCTATCCCAAATTTAAATTCCCTCTGTGTTTTCCTTGATACTGCACACACACTAGAACCGATAATTGAAACGGGAGAGTAATATTTCTCACATCAGAGAGACCCAAACAATGTGACAGCCTGTGGCTGCTTCCCCATCATTTTCCTTTTAATTTTACTGCATTCATGTCATGTGGAACTAAAGGGATTCCGATGCAGGGTGAACGCCCGCTTTCGGGTGAGTGGAGGAGAATCAAGTCACTCATTAGACGTAATTGGTGTAGTGATTCCAAATGAGCTTTCCTTGCACATGCTGGAATGGGGTGATAAAGGACTAATGCCAAAGGCAGGTGGAACTCCGAGAGCCACTTGCATGTTTTCTTGAGCAAACTGCATCTGTGTGGCATTCAGTCGGCTGACAGGTCAGGCCCACTGCTGCCAGGATGTCTTTCATGATGCATTTCATTTTGTCTCTGCATTTTGCTTTTTGAAGACTTTCTTGTGGAATGATGGTTACTAGGTGAGATGGTGATGAAAGGGTCCAGACTTCTAGTTGTATGAGGAGTAAGTTCTAGGACATCATGTAAGCAATGGTTACTTTAGTTAGGATGCTAACTAAAGTGTTATCAAGTGTTATATATGTAAAAGTTGCTAAAAAGTGGATTGTATATATCCTCATCACAGAAACAGAAATGTTAATCATGTGATGTGATAGAAGCATTAACTGAAGCTATAGTGATAAGTATTTTACAATATATGTGTATCAAATTATATGGACACCTCCAACACATTACATGTCAATTATATATCAATAAAGTTGCAAAAGTTCTGGCCCTCCCTGTTGGCACAGCTGGTTAAAGCACAGCACTGAGAAGCTAAAGCCACTTCCCCATGAGTTCCATCCCCGCCTG